AACAAGGAGACACATTTACCTAGAGACAGTTTTAGGTAAAAGGTTTGAATCAAATTTTGAATATATATTTATCGAAACTTTAGAAAATTTAAATCACGTGAACTTGAAAAATATACTTATTTATTTAATGAGCGCACATTAATTATGAGCCAATTAGGTACCTTGCACATAAAACAATTACCTAAACAGACATTAACATATAGACATGACATACAGCTTACGCACGCATATATACAGACATAAACAACAAGAACANAAAACTATTATTAATAGAAGGAGAGAGATAAAACTGTAAGGGCTGCACTTGCAAAGGGGTAGTTAAAGAACACCGACCATTGGTCGAGTAATTAAGGGATAAATATGGAAAAGCTACAGGTATAGGTCGTCCCATGACCAAGCACAGCCAGCAGTTTTGAGCAAGGTCAGGATTACTTGTATTAAGCAATTTATAAGTAGCATAAATGAGATGAGAGGTCTGAGGATCTAGATTTAATTGATCTCGATTTTCTGTCAAAGCTCATGGATGATAGGTAAGTTGAGGAAATAGGGTATCATGCATTTCCTGTATTTTTTCTTCCACCTTAAGGGTTCTGGTTTGTTCGTGGGGTCCGCCTCCGTCAGACATATAGATAGAGGGAGTAATGGACCAGCATACAGGCTTTCCTACGGGTCCCAAACAGGGAGCTTGGACATATTTATTAGAGGCAAGCCCCACTGCAGACGGAGGGTCAGCAAGATCCCCTACAAATGTTCCTTCATAATTTCTGGTTAGGATAGCAGTAAAATATGTCTGATTATCTGAAATACACAATTGATATGAACCATAACAGGTGCTATGTAATGTTTTAACAAAAGTTTGACAGGGACAAGGCTTAGGGCCATCACTGTCAGCGGGTGCGAATTGTGGCTTATCTATGCAACTATAGGCAGGAGAGGTTGGAGCCAGATAAGCCAAATGTGCACCACAATCAACGATGGCTATGTATGGTGAGGGAGGACTTAAGAACAGTACCTCCCTTGCAATCACAAGGCTTACCAAAATGTTTGTTTACCAATTGTCGAGTGAGTCCAGGATCTCCAAAACCCGACTGGGCCTGAGGCCAGGGAGCCAATAGTCCAAGAACAAGGAAGAATACAAAAATCATAGACCTATAGAA